ATCTAATATAGGAGAGGCATAATTTGGCCTTCTAATTCCTGTGTTGAGGCCATTCTGGGCCATGATTCTCTCTATCATGGTGGTTAAATTATTTTCGGCCAAGATGTTATCATTTTGAATTCTGTGAACGACTGCATCAGCATCTTGATTTCGACCCACCATGACAACTCCTCTAGGCTATTCTTCTCGAAACTCTGGGACTTCTAGCCTTTCGATCCTTTCCCCTGGTTCCATAATTTCCCTTTGTGGGCCTTGAATCATTGGGGCTTCTAACCTTTGTTCCCTTGCCCCCAAATTAACCCCCTCTCTGGCTGGTCTATAGGGTTGGTCGTCAGCAACTTGTTCTATGATAGGTACGTTTGCTCGAACTCCCGCCTGATTCTGCCTACGCCTTTCTGGGGGAGCGAAAAAATCTGCTATTCGACCCATGTTATCCGCGTTTTCTCTGTTTGTCACAGTTACATTTTGTACTATTGGGGCAAAGATCTCCTGCATAGTTTGTCCTAATACTCCTATCATATTATGGTTACTGTCATCCATTAATTGCCTAAAGGCCAACTGATTTTATGTGGTTAAGATAAGCATTGCACTATAACCCACTGACCCTTGGTTATTCGTCATAAATTGATTTTCCCCAGACCCAGACCCTAATTGTGGTGATGTATTCGATGTCGAAGTGTGCAGACCCGCCATAAAAGATGTTGGCATCCCATAAGAGGAATTTCTGTGTCTGTTAGCATCGAACCCGGGTGGTCTAGTTAATGGGGTGGCGAAATGGGTTTGTGTCCCTGATGGTGGGACGAATCCCCTAGGATAACCAATGGTTCCTGTATTTCCTAGGATCGAACTGTTAGTTGACATGCCACTTGTTCCATTAGTGGCTATACTACTGGTAGAAGATGCAACGGACTGTGCGTTCGAAGGGATCGCGTTAGATGTTCCCATCGAAGCGGACATATTAGTGCCTGTTGTATGTGGGATACTTTGTTCCCCTTGTTGATTGTCTGGATTAGACATCTTGTTTAAACGTTTTCTTCTGGGTAAGGGTTGGTTGCTATTGGTTATTCTACCACTTCTAAGGTTCATAAAACAACAAACTTATCACTCAGAAAATACTTTTACAATGGTTATGTCTCAACAATCTTTACTTTGTTCTAATTTTCGTGATGACCAATGGTTGTCCCGCCGGGTGTGCCAATTTGTTTACAGTTATTTCTGGTAAACAACCGCTAGTCCTCCAAACTATCAAATAATCTTAATGACTGTTATTTAATCTCTCTGATAACTTGCAAGATCGACTAGATTGATCCTATGGTGTATTGGTCGTTTGGATAATTCTCATTGTAGAACTGATATTCATGGTTGGTATTTAGAATGTTGTGTAGGTGTTCAACTTACTTCGATTACCATATTAGAGATCTAATGACATGATCAAGTAAATACGTGCGAAACTAAATTGCATGAATAAAATTTCAATTGTAAAGACATGTAAAACTGCAAGAAACAAGTAAATAACTTCGAAGTATAAAAGCATGTAATGTAAAAGAGTTTCTGGAACGTAAAAGATTCGAAATAGAAAGAAAGCGTTTAAATGCAAGAAATCAGTAAAATGACTTTGGATGAAAAGGTATTTGAATGATAAAAGCATGAAGATAAAAGCATGAAATATACAAAAGTTTCTGAAATGTAAAGGATTTGAAATAGAAAGAAAGCATTTAAATGCAAGAAATCAGTAAAAGACTTCGAATGAAAATACTTTAATGTAAAGGCTTTTGAATGATATTGACATGAAGATAGAAGATAAACTGGAAATGATAAAGAGTTTTTTGCTGAATCATAAATATTTGGTGTTATCATATGTATATTGTTCGAGCATTCGTTTCCCTAGCCATGTGGTATTTTGAATGTTTACTGAATTTTGTACAATAGATATGACACACGAAATCCTAACGCTAAGACTTCTATTTATACTACTTCGACCATAACGGTCTTGCCTATAAGATTCTGCCACGTTCAGAACATGCAGAACACTGCCCTTCTCTAGCTTCCACGCGTCTTCGAATGCTCCAGCGCATATATTTTAAATTTCGAACATCCCGCTTGCGTTTGAATTTCAAATGTTTTGGCACTCTTCGCTTCGAACTCATTTCTTGGACACAACCTTGTTACCACTTCGAGACTTCTTTTGAATATATCCCCATAACTGTCATTCGAAGCTCCGAGCTTTGACATGTTCAATCGAAGAACTACTTCTACCATTCCGAACCATGACATCTTGCTTTATTCCAACGAAACACCCAACTTGCTTCGTTTCGAACTGTATCATCAAAATCTTCAGCCAACAACAGCATAGCTTAAATAAGTTAGATTAACAAAAGCATACTTGTGCATATGTCTATTACAACATTACCAAAAGGCACACTTGTTGCATATGTCTATTACAATATTATCAAAAGACACACTTGGTGCATATGTCTATTACATTATGAAAAGGCACACTTGGTGCATATGTCAAACACAATAATAATACAAGTAAATAAAAGTCACATAAAGTAATTAGGACTATTAACCCTTAAGTCTATGAAAGATAACATAAAACTTAGTCTCTAATTTTTTTTTGTCCCCCATGTCTTCAGAAACCTTGTTTCCACTCCTAGTTTGGAGTCTTTTGAACCTGACTTCTCTCCAACTTTTGTTATGGTAATTGGTTGCTCACTAGATCCTAAGCTTATAGTTGGTTTCTTAAACCAAATCAACTTGATCCTTTCACTTTGCCTTCTTTTGGTAACTAACTTCTTTCCTTTTTGTTTCTTTGAGTTAACCACAACAGAAACAGTCTGAGAATCATTAACCATTATACTATGTTCATCAATAGGATCTGCAATATGTAAAGCAGTTGGAACAAATTTCTCCCCAACACTCTGATCTGCATTCTGTACATAAGTTGGAACAGACTTCTCCCTAACACTTAGATCTGTATTATGTACATTAGTTGGAACAAATTTCTCCCCAACATTCTGATATGCACTCTGTACATCAGTTGGAACCGTCCTCTCAGCTTCACCAGGATTTTTAACTTTCCTCTGCATAATTAAAAACATGTTAGATTAGTCACAAAAAAGTTTGTACAACAGAATGAGTTTTGAGAAACAGTTAGACCTTTCTTTTCAGGGCATTGGGATCTTGTGTCAATTACTTGCAAGTCAATGCATTGTGACCAAACATGTCACATTTTATGCACTTACATGCAACCCCATGTCTTCTTATTCTCGCACCTTCCTCTCCAACTTCTCTTATCCTTACCATCCTAGACCTTCCTGGACCTCTCTTGTATGATGGTGGTAAAACTTGTTCCATTTCTACTTCTGGCCACATATCCTGACCATTGATAGGGCTTATTGCAAATCCATAACAAAGTGTAAATTTTTCTCTGTTGTAACACTCATCAACAAAGTCATCAGGGTTTTGCTTCCTATAACTCAAAGCTGCCACAACATGCCTACAAGGTATTCCTACTAACTCCCAAAAGATGCAACTACATGACCTTTTAGCTATGTCAACTTATATTCATCCTCACAAGAATCATCCGGGTCATCACTATTCAACTCATCACTATGGTATTCATCCTCATTCGTGGTCTTCTTGGGCCTACCAAAAAGCCCACTAAGACTTACATCTTCATTCAATGGCAATGTAACATTGATTCCTTCAAATCCATCAAGAAGAGCAGTAGCTCTCTCATCTTCATTGTCATTTAAACCTTTAACCATCTCCTCTTCCAACCCATCAATTTCATTCACCTCATTGACACAATTAGGTTATGTATCATCAACACCCAATCCTCCCTGAGCATGTTCCACAAATAAATGTCCAATGATATTCATTACACTAAAGAATGATGCAAAATCGTATGCATCATCATCATTTTTAATCAAAATATATCCTTCTTGAATCTCTAAAACTTTCGTCCATAAACGAAAAGTCCCCTTCTTACACCCCCACCCACTTACCAACTTAATAATACGATTCATCGCCCACTTAGTAACTTCAAGCCCATTTACAGTTGAATCACCCCCCCCCCCCCTCTGTAAATAATTGCAGTCGTATTAACCTTAATAAATTCACCCCCATGGTGAAAAATAACAGTAAAAGGTTGGAAATCCTGTGAATGCATCAAACTCAATTATCATAAAGTTCCCACCGTATTACACTTTAATTGTATTGAGGTTTCAAAATCAACATACCTTAGACATTGCAAGCTTCTTCTTCGTCTTCGTCGTCACCTGATGCCTTGTATTGCCTCGTCTTGTTTCGTCGCCTACAGAGTCATCGTCTTCACAGCTCAGTCTTCTTCACATAAACTCTAATTTGGCAAGGGGGTATAACGAATAGAAAAAAATTATAAACTGGTTTGCCTGATGATTGAATGAAAATGTCATGTGACTAAATTAGAAATAAGACGTGGCAAATATTTCAACATGTCATTCAAGATTCCATGACATATGATCAGAGGAGATGGCCTGAGAGAATCTACATAACACAAAGAGAAAATTTAAAAAAAAAAAACTTAACAAGAGACTAAAACTTGATTTCACTAATATTAGAGAGGAATTTTTATATTTAACCTAATAAAAAATAAATAAAAAACACAAACTACTCGGGCCTCCAAAAGAGGCACTTCTCCTTCTTGATGTACAATAAATAATAAAAGAACTAAAACTACCACTTCTTTTCCACACTTGAACTAACTAATATAACGATGACACGTGACATCATTTAAGTAATAAAATAAAATAAAAAAACAAATAAATCAAATGACTAATGAAATGTGAGAAATAATGTTCAGATCCCAAAACCTCTTTCTTCATATATTTTCTTCTACACCCTCACACTCAAAATCTCAGTAGCTTAAACACATACAAATCCATGTTTATCTCAAAATCTTATCAAGCAAAATAGTGATTAACGGAAGAGTGAAACAAGAATATGAAAATACGAGTCTATGGCTTCAATAAATTTGGATCCGGACGGTGGTTGGTCGGCGCGATGAGAGTGTTGCGGCTGCGTGGAGGTTTGGCGCTGTCAGGGTTGTTTGCAAGTTGGGCTTGGCGGTCGGAGAAGGGAGTTTGTGCGGATTCGGATCCTGCGTGTGTGTGCTGTTGTTGATCGTCGACGACTGCATGGTGGAAGAAGACCGTGTGGTCCTGCAATCTGGTCGGAGAAAGAGGCGGTCGTGATATTGCATCGTGAATGGCGTGATGGCGAACCTTCGTGCTGTTTTGTAGCAGATTCAGTTCCCCGAAGCAATTCAAATTTTCTTCTTTTTTTATCTGTTTGAACATGGTTTTTTTTATCTGTTGGAAGCAGAAATTGTTTCAAATTTATTGTTGTGAATTTGTGGTTGTTGGATTTGTGCATATGACTTATAACAGGAACATGGTTTGAATTGGTTGTTTAGGGGTTGAATTCCAATGAAACTTTGTCAAAAGTTTCAGTGAATTTAATTTGATAACAAGATGAAATTGGGTGTTAAAATCGTTAGAAAATATGCACAGAGGAAGAATGTGGAATGTGTGCGAGAGTAGAATTGGGTATATATTTTATGTTCCCAAGTGAGAGAAAAAGATGTCTCATTTATAGCCCAAAAATAAAACACATTTAAGATTGACATTTATGTCAATAAAAATGGTTTCCAAACTTGAGGTTGTTTTGGAAAGAAAATGTGCACAATCAATTTTTTAATTTATTTTCTGGATTATTTTTTACATAAAAGTGCATAATAATGAGAAAAAAAAACAATATTTTTTAAATAAAGCTTAAAAAATTTGAAAATTATAACTAAGTACTTTTTTTTTTATTTTTTTGAATGAAATAAAAATAGAAAATGGATTAAAAATTAGTAATAACAAAAATGGAAAAAATTTCAAAATGTTGAAAAGTAGGATTCAAATCCAGGACCTCTCACTTGTATTTCCTTACACATGCTCTTTTGTCAATTGTGTCATCTCATTTATTCGAAATAAAATGTCATAAGAAAACATATGAAGGTAAAGTGTCCAGGCAAAATGGGATATGACAACAGGTATAAGAAGATGATGAATGTCTGAACTTGTAAAGTGTCCTGGTGCTTGATTGAATGAATGAGTGAAATGCAAATGATCTGATTAAGATATGCGGATGAAATGCAAAGTCTAAGTCAGATAAAAGCTAAATCAGGAGGCGAATTTTAGGGTACAACAATTGTCCTTATTTAATCATCTTAAACATGAAGGTGACATTGACGCTAGCCTTTCGAACATTCAAGATAGAAGAGGATTAAATATCAAAAGAACCAGAAAACTTGCGCTCCGAAGAATAAAAGGATGATGTATTTTTTTGGGGAGAATTTTGTTTTGGAAAGGATTTGTGATGAGTAGGTGTGAGGTTGAATAATGATGACTTGTAAGATGGTGAAGGTGCCAATACAAGATTTTTGTAAGTAGGCAAGATTGGTTAACACAGACGATTGTTAGAGATTAACATGGACGGTTGTCGGAAGGACCATCACATACGAGTATTGTAAAATGGATAACACGGACGAGTGTTGGAAAGGTTAACACAGACGAGTATTGAAAGAAGAAGTCTACGGGAGATTTCAGAGAGAATTTTAACACGGACGGGTATTGGAAGAAGATCGACACGGATGAGTATCGAAAGGAGACACAAACAAGTATCAAGGAACAAATTAACACAAAAGAGTGGAAATCAATATAGATGATTATCAAAACTAAGATACAAAAGAATATCAAAGAAATATTAACACAAACGAGTGTTGATATCAATACGAATGAGTATTGCAAGAAAATACAGACAAGTATCAGAAATGAGATATAGACGAGTATAAAAAATGATATACAAATGAGTATCGAAGAAAGATTAACACGAACGAGTGTTGATATCAATACGAAGGAGTATTAAAAGAAAATACGGACAAGTATCAAAAATGAGATACAGGCGAGTATAAAAAACGAGATACAGACGAGTATCAAAGAAAGATTAACACAGACGAGTGTTGATATCAATACAAATAAGTATTGAAAGAAAATATGGATGAGTATCGAAAATGAGATACAGACGAGTAACACAGACGATTGTTTTGCAGATAATGTCTTTGTTGGGGATTAAAGAAAAGATTGATACAAACGAGTTTGAAAAGAAGATATAGACGAGCATTAAAGAAAGGTTAACACGGATGAGTGATGGTAATCAATACAGACGAGTATTGAAATGAAATATGGACGAGTATAAAAAATAAGATATACACGAGTATCAAAGAAAAGTTAACATGAACAAGTGTTGATAATCAATACAGACGAGTATTAAAAATAAGATACGAACGAGTATCAAAGAAAGTATTAACACAGACGAGTGTTCGAGAAAAATACTAACACGGACAAGTGTTTGAGAGAAGGTTAACATAGACGAGTGTCGAAATCAATATGGACGAGTATCGAAATAGGATACAAATGAGCATTAAAGAAAGGTTAACACGGACGAGTGTTGGTAATCAATACAAACGAGTATAAAAAATAAGATACAAACGAGTATCGAAGATAGTATTAACACGGATGAGTGTTTGAGAAAAATATTAACACAGACGAGTGTTGAATGAAAGAGAGGCACAATCGAGTGTTTGAGGGGTAATTTATTATCTTGTATGACACAGACGGGTGTGGAAGAGCAAGTCTTTTGAGTGAAGTATCTTGGGAAATATGTTGGAGATATCAGCTGGAGATTTGTATGGATAACATCATCTTTGGAGATGTACCATTGTGGCAGCGACTAAAGTCATGATGAAAGCCACTCGCAATAGTATAAAATCTAACTCTTCCAGCAAACTCGATTTGTCTGTTTGAGAGAGTTTGCACATATGGGCTTAATCTTTAGTAGATATACAGTCCTCTATCTCGAGAATAGTCTTGGCCACCCAACCTGCCTATACTCGGGGCAGCTGGTGAAGAGAAATGGTGTGGTTAGCAAGGTTTTGAGCAAAAAGTTTGGCCTCAAGGTAAGTGTCCTTTATTTGCAATTTATATAAGTCATTCTTTTGACTACCCAAACCATTCATTATCTTGGTGTTCAATTCCTGATGACACTAAAAACACATCATATATTTGACTTGATTTTCATTTATTTTATTGCCATTTTATTTCCATTTCCAGTATTATGTTGGTGTTTTTCCTTTGTTTCAGGAAATTGACTAATCAGGAGCTATGTGCAAAGAAATGAAGCAAAACAGGCGAAAAACTAAGATTTGGAGCAAGCTTGCACCTACGGATACCCCCATGGGGTTCATCCTAGGGCTGCCATGGGTGGTCCATGCACCAACTAGTGGGATGACCAATTCATGCCCACTTTGTGAGCATGGCGGTCGCCATGAGGGCGTGGCGGTCACCACCCTTTCTAAAAGCCCAAACGATTGGAAACGAGCTTGCTTAGCCTCCAAGAGTCCACTTAACCACTCCTACGATCTCGCCACTACTTTGAATCATTTTCAAATATTTTTAGGGTTTTTGGAATCCTATAAATACCCCCTTTCATTTTAACATTTCATTTGATCCAAAATTATGCATACTTAAGCCATATACTATCAATTTGTAAAGTAATAATCTCTTCACATCGGAGGATTATTGCAGTGTCGATTGAGTATGTATCAAGTTTGGAGCACTCCTATACAAGTTTTATTTCAAGCACTTTATTTATGTCGTTTACATTTTGTCAAGCTTTACTTCCAGTTATTGCAATTGTATCAGATTCAAGACTCCTTTTGGAGCAGATTTTTAATTCATTCAGGATTTATTTTCTTGTCTTGACTTTACTTTCCTGCCTTGTTTATTTGCTTTAATTCTCTTCATCTATTTAACTGTCATTATGTTTATCTTTGCACTTAAAATCATTTATGTTTTGTTTTCCCTAAACATGTCCGGCTAATTTATTAAGTGTTGAGATGTGAGGATAGTCATAGGAGATGATATACATGTTGTCTATTTAGGATCACTTTTATGGGTTTTTTTATTTAAAGGAAATTTTTCTAAACTTATTTTGAATCTTCTTACACGAAAGTGAAGTAGTGAAAACGTCGGGTAAAACCGAAAGTCGTCCGACATAAAAGACAAAAATTAGTTTGTTTTTGGTTAACAAATACCACGAAGGCACTTTGTTAGTTAATTAGGAAGATTTGATATTTCTAGAAGGAGGTTTTAAAACTATTTACGAATGCGTTTGTAGGTTTAGAATCTGGTCGCCTAAGCAAAAGCCAGGAACCCTTTTAAGTTAAACTTTCCAATAAAAATTACTTTTCAACTTAGTTAAGACTTTAATTTCTTAAAATTAGGTTTACTACATTAACGCGATAAGCACCTTCCATAAGTGACAATGGCAGGCATAAATTAGAGAGTAAACTATGTTCTAAATACGCGACAGCGACAATTCCCGTTAAATTGATTCTTTTCAAAGTAGGAAATATTGCCCCATAAGTAATCTTAGTAGACACAATCAGAGTATTGTTGATTGGTGTGGATTACATTTCAGCATTGTTATTTCATCTGTTTTTATCAAAAGTTTATTTATTTCATTCCTTTCCACTACTATTATTAATCTCCTTAGATAAACATTGTAACAACTAGAAACAGTATATTGGTCTCTGTGGATCGATATTTTTTTAAAACTACACGATAGGATGTACACTTGCAGTTAGATTTTACACTCATATAAATAGCCGATCAATTTTTTCGCGTCATTACCGGGGAACAAATTTTGTGAAAATATTTAACTTCGTTGTTACATCGTCTAGACTAAGACACTATTTTTGGTAGATGCGAAGAACTCGCAGTACTGGAACCTTGGTAAAACTGATAATTGAACCTGAAAGATACGCAAGAGAAAGAGTTAGACATTTGCTCCAACGAATTCATAGAAGAATGGTTGAAGAACAAGATATTAAGCCTCTTAAGGATTTCGCTTTTCCCTCTAACGTAGAACCTCATTCGAGTATTCTCAATCTTGTAATTACGGCTCACAATTTTAAATTAAAACCTGTTTTGTTGCAAATCATGCAACAAAGCCAATTCTTTGGTCTCCCAACGGAGAACCCCAACCAACATTTGAAAATGTTCATCCAACTAGCCGACACATTTAAAACTAATGGTGCCACCCCTGAGACTATACATTTGCATTTATTCCCTTTCTCTCTCAGGGATAGAGCAAAATCATGGCTAGACTCTCTCCTACCAAATTCTATCACCACTTGGAATTACCTTAAGAAAGTTTTCCTTGCTAGATACTTTCCACCAAGTAAAACTGT